TCGAATCTAGAATCTAATTAGAAGGGCCGGTTGCCGACTTGTAGCAGTGGCACTAATACCACAAGCGGCAACAATGAGCACAAAGCCCGGATTTGCAGAACCACATGCAGCCAAACGAGCTTCAACAACCGATCTTGAACTGTGGGCCGGAAATCCGCCCAGAGAGCCCAATACCCCTTAATTAAGGAATATGACTTGAATCATAATATGAAGCTTTATAGTACTTAAGCCATGTTCCTTAATTAAGGGGTATTGGGCTAATTAAGGAACATGGCTTAAGTACCATAAAGCTTCATATTATGATTCAAGTCATATTCCTTAATTAGGGGGTATTGGGCTCTCTGGGCGACGTGCGAAAGTCTTGGCATGCTCCCTGCGCAGCCCACGAGCCCCGATCCCAACCAGCCGTTAGCCCCAAACCAGGGATAAACATTCCTGCTCCTTCAATATGGGGGTTTCCGGAAATAAAGGGAACCTAATACAATACCCTAAATTATAAGGACCCCAATATAAGGTACCCCCAATTATCGGAAACTCCCATATACCACAAGTATGGGTCAGGTCCGACGAACGCCCATTTCGTAGCGACGGGACCCGCATCTGATCCAGACCCCCAAGAAAACTCCACAGCAATTTTGGGAGTTTCCGAAATAGGGGACTCTAATATAGTACCCCAAATAGTAGGATCCCTATCATAAGGAACCCCAAAATAGGTACCCCCCCATTTCGGAAACTCCCAATTCTGTCGGGGAAGGGCCTGGTTCAGGGTCGGCGGATCTCGATCTTCATTAACCTGGCGCGTCATCGAATCTGGCATAGGGCATCATGAAATTTGAAGACACAGCAGCAACAACAACAACCACCACAACAGCAGCCGCAGCTGCAAGGACAGCGAGCAACGAAGGTTCATGGTGAAGCCGGTGAAGCATCCGCTTTCTAAACTGCGCCGTAACGCAGAAGAGACGATCTGTTGAATACTGCTCATCACATGTAATGCAGAGAGAAGAATGCCGGGAAGTCGATGCCGTTGAAGACCTGCAGTCGCTATCTGTGGATGATGCTTCCAGGACACCAGGACCCTCCTTGTACCCTGAAATAGGGGGAGATGGTCCCTAGTAGCAGGCGTTTAGGATCTAATACAGGGTCCAAGGAGGGTCTAGGTAATGTTCAGTCTTGCAGATAAATTGCAGCAGTTGCAGTTTCCGTGTCTTTGCCGGGTCTTGCTCGAAGTATCTTGCGAAACACAACAGTCAGTGGTAAAATGCAGCTTTGAGGACCCACTGGTGACTTCTCTTCCGAGAAACATGGAAAGGCTTGGCCGCACATGCTCTCATGTAACCAGACCGAGCACACTGCCATTTGGTATGTGGTGGACTGGCGCAGTCCATTCTTGCCCTCAAAGACGATGAAGACCTGCAAAGACAGAATATGTAAAACGACTACAACACGACCGGTGACGAGGAAGAGGACGGCAATGACGATGAACATCAGGTTTACAGGTCTTGCTGCAATGATCACCATCACGAATACTACTCCGACCACGACTGCGACTACGACTACGCCAACGGCTCCGAGCACGGTTGCTGCGGCTGCTTCTTCTGCGTCTTACTACTGCCATTGCTACTGCTATGATACTGTTACTGATACCGTCACGAGCACGACAACTACATTGTGCTGCAACTGGCACTAGTACTGTCACTCCGACAATGATCACCGTCGTGCTGTGGACGACCAAGTTCGAAACAAGACGACTACTAAGCCACTTTCGGTTTCATACAATGTTGAGCTCGTGATCCTACACGATCACCCCAAAATTAATGATGGCAACAGCTGCGTCATTGGTTAAAGTTCCCAACATCTCGCAGCTAGGCAACCCTCTTCGACAGCGTACCAAGGAATAATTGTCAACGGTCACAATACATACTACAATCGAGAATACTACAATCACCTGACGTCTGATGGCGTAGGCTTTGGGCGTTAGTGGTAGAGGAGTTCCGTGGCCGGGGTTTGGAATCCGTCCACAACTCGAGCTGCACAGGAGACATCGGCCAGCATCTGAAACTCACTTATTCCATGATTTGTAAGAAACTGACAGTCAACAATCCACACCACTACGAAGCTGAAGCCAAGATTTTGAAAACCAACAGAATCCGACCTTGATACCTCGAGAACGCAGTGTATGAGCAGAACAACGCCGACGTTCCAAATCCCAGACCCCAAATTCTTATTCCAAGCCAGCCAAAAATTACAGTTTACAAACTAAAAACCCTCTAAACATTGAAGTCCGACCTCTCGCCGGTTTCCCGTGGGGTAGCCCTTGTAGTAGCAGCCCTTCGGCCTCGAAAGAAGCGGAGAGAACACAACACTGCAGCAAGACAGCTTCACTGTGGTGCAAGTGGAGGTCGTAGAAGTACCAAGTTCGGCACAGTAGTAGTTAAAGTATTTAGAAGAGGCCGAAGAAGAAGAACCGAAGCAGAAGTAGATTGCGCCTAGTAGTACGTAGGGTGTACGGCCGTGGGGTCTTTGCCATAGCCAGCTGTGACTAGAGCACTACCTGGGATCTCTACCTCACCTGAATGAAAACGGCGTAACAATGTTGAACCCTACCCTAGGCCCGAAAAGCCCAAAAGTCCTAATAACCATAACTACCCGAATCACGTCCTAATAACCATAACTACCCGAATCAAGCCCTCATCCCCAATCGCACGCCTTAGAACACAAAACAGCAAACCTTCCAGTCCAAGCAGCATCGGGAAACCTCGCTCCATGTCTGCAGACCTGAATTGGGAGTTTCCGAGAATTGGGGGTACCTTATTTTGGGGTTCTTATGATAAGGATCCTACGATTTAGGGTAATACATTAGGGTGCCCTATTTTCCGGAATTGACATCTGAGATCTCGGTTTAGGTTTTAGGGCGTCGTCGGCTGCCAGGGGGCAGGGGGCAATCTGAACGGCCCTGGGACCCTGGGATTGCGAGAGTAACGAGCCATCCGAAAAAGGCTTAGTCAGGTTCGAGCACTTATCATTCGCATAGCTAAATCTTTGATGATCGCTTCTATATACAGTCAGCACGAAAGCTACTGTTGCCGTAACTCGTATCGTTAGCTCAACCATTGTCGTGACTCTACTAGATTCTACCAAGACAGTGAAACACCAGTCGCTCCAAAGCCACCTAATATAGGGGCATTAATAATCACCTATACTATATTGGTGGTTCCTGATTATAACTATAGTATATGATTCGGGCCCCACAACCCTATTCTAATCTTTACCATTTCAGGAATCTGCGGCGGTTTGCTTAGAGTTTAAGGGTTTGGGGTTTAGCGGTTATATACTAAGAAACAGCTATGGCGGAGCCAGTCACGCGCGACAATTTCAAAAAATGTTCACTCCTCTGACCCCCCAAAACCCCTCACTTTTGGGACCCGCCAGGACCCAAAACCCCAAGCCCTAAACCCTAAGCCCTGCCCGAAGCCCTCTCACGGCACCATCGACTCTTTGGACCAGGAGGTCAGGATTAGTCATTGGCAGTGCAGGCGACGGCTTGCAGGGCCGAAGTACTGTGGTCAGAACCAAGTCATGATTCAGGAGCAAGGTGCTTGCTTGCTGGCTTGCAAAGAGTACGAGTATAGTACAGTATAGCTTAGTACAGTATAGTACACTACCGTATACAGTATAGTGTAGTACAGTGTAAAAAAGACTGAGACTTCTGAACCCTCTACCGACAACAAGGTGCAAGCAGCAAGCTCATGGAGGGTGACCCATCGGGCCTGTCTGTCAAAGCTTAAACTGGAATTGTTCGTGCAGCGGCGCAAGAGGTGGGCCGATTGACACCAACCTCTGGGGCCTTAAATCGAGAGGTCAGCTGCTGGAACCCTAAACCCTAAACCGCTCTAAGTCGGAGAACATTTGTATCGTTGACAAGATCGAGATAGAATAACACTTCGCTATGTCAATGTGTGAGCTGTTCCAGCTCAGTGAGGTAGTGGTTAGTAGATAGCTTGCCAGCCGTAGTAAGTAGGCAGGTAGCTCGCAGGTAATAGGTTGTGGTAGCAGGTAGGAGGTAGCAAAATGAAGCAGCTATTCGGTAGAAGGTAGCAGGCACTAGTAGCAGTAGCAGTAGCAGTAGCCGTAGCCGTAGCAGCAGCAGTAGCAGTAGCAGTAGCAGCAATGCCAGTAGCAGCAGCAGCAGCAGCAGCAGTTCTGTGGAAGCAGCAGCAGCAGCAGTGACAGGCGTGGTTGCCGTGCAGCAGTACAAGTACTAGCAGTTGTACGTAGGAGTAGGAGTAGTGCTAGTAGTAGTAGAGTAGTAGTAGTAGTAGTAGTAGTAGTAGTAGTAGTAGTAGTAGTAGCAGTAGTAGTAGTAGTAGTAGAAGTAGTAGTAGCAGCAGCAGCAGGAGTAGTAGTAGTAGTAGCAGTAGTAGTAGGAGTAGTAGTAGTAGTAGTAGTAGCAGCAGTAGCACTCCTACTACTATAATACTACTACTACTACTACTACTACTACTACTACTACTACTACTACTACTACTACTACTACTACTACTACTACTACTACTACTACTACTACTTCTCCTGCTGCTACTACTACTCCTCCTGCTGCTACTACTACTACTACTACTACTACTACTACTACTGTTGCTGACACATTCGTTACTAGATTGTTACGAATACTACACCGCACCGCTGCTCTTGATACACTCCCCATTGCAGAATATTTTCGTTTGCTGCTTTTCGCTCGTGATGATCATGGCCATGCCGATTTGCGACATCGTATTTACTATAGCTCGTGGTAGCAACGAACATGCTTCTTCTTGCAGCAGGCCTGCAGCTTCCTCGGTTCAGCATACCCAGGGGCCCCAAAATAGTTCCTTTTTGGGATTACCTCATAGGAGTCTAAATATGAACCCCCAAAAAAGGGCCTTAGGGTATTGCCATGATGTGCTACGACAAGCTAACACATCATGGTCGTAGGACCGGACTCAGGTCCTCTGGATGGCCAGTCAGGCCTGAGATGAAGCAGGAGACTTCATACTGTAGCTCACATGGGAGTTTCCGACAATGAGGGACCCTGATATAATACCCTAAATAGTAGGATCCTTTTTATAAGGACCCCAAAATGCGGTACCCCGAACTATCGGAAACTCCCACATGTAGTGGGGATCCGAACCGAGTGAAGGACAAACAACTTTCACGAACATGAGACGTATCAAATTGGGTTCTTGCAAAGGGGCGATGTATCCGTCGGTCTTCGGTCGAAGTCGAGTCGTCAGCCTGGGAGCAGTCAGCGACATGAAGTTGATAAATTTAGGCGAACCGCTGTTCCATGGACTTTCTGAAACTCATCGGGTAGACGAGTAACTGATCAAAGGAAGCTCATAAAAAAAGAAAACCTTCCTTCCCTTCCTTCCGCCAGTCTTTAAGGTGAGAGAGATGCTTTCTGCCAGCAAGATGCTTCTGCAGCCACGGAATGGATGTCTGTACTTCTTCGGACTTCTCCTGAAAGATCAAATCGGGGAGGGACAGGCATCAACTTCCTTTGAAGGGGTCTGTAAGGGTTCTAAACTATAGGGTCCTATGGGGTTTCGTGTAGCGGCCTTAGTCATACAGAGGACTTTACCGGGGATCTGTCGCCAGTCTGAACTGGCTAGGGCGGCTCGTCAGCGCTGTGGTAGTGACCACTCCTCGATATTCATCGTTAACAGCTAACTACAATAATGACTAGCAAAAAGATTAAAATCAAGTAGAGGTACCAGGTCCCAAACAAAAAATAGCAAGACTACTTCTTCAACATCCCGCTGCTGCCCGAGTGACGATAACTGTCGGTTATTAACGTATTACGGAACCGAACGAACAATAACTATGATACCGCTGCTGCTGCTGCTGCTGCTGCTGCTGCTGCTGCTGTGCTGCATTACTAATACTACGACTACGACGCCTACGAGTGCTGCTACTACTACCACTACCACTACTACCACCACTGCTACCACTACCACTACTACTACTGCTACTACTACTACTACTACTACTACTACGACCTACGACCTACGACCTACGACCTACGACTACTACTACGACTACGACTACTGCTATTGCTACTGCTACTGCTACTGCTACTGCCACTGCTACTACTACTACTACTACTACTACTAAGACTACTACCACTACTACTACCGCTGCCGCTACTGCAGCTACTACTACTACTACTACCGCTACTGCTGCTACTACTGCTACTCCTGCTGCTGCTGCTACTACTGCTACTCCTGCTGCTGCTGCTACTACTACTACTACTGCTACTACTACTACTACTACTTCTACCAGTTCCTAGCACCGCTATTGCACGATGGGAAACACACCATTAGCTCAAGTCTTCACAGACACTCACACTGTGACAGACAGAAACAGACACACAGGCTCCCAGGCAGAGGGACAGACACGCAAACGAGCTCTTGCGCACATATGCATGCACTATCACATAATCACACACCACCATTGCTACCTCTATTGCCAAGTGCCCGAATGGAGCTCATGAAGGCCTTTTCCCCTGCCCTGTGTTGCCCTGTGCAAAAACGTTTCGAGGGACCGTCTAGCACTCAGACAACAGAAGAGCTGGATACCCTACAGATAACCCTATATAAATCGAAACAAAACGCATTTCCTTGCAATACAAGTGGCCGACAGACGATGCTGTGCCGACTGCAGAAAGGCTTCGACCTCTGCCACGTGGTTCGCGTTTTACAAGACTCCAAAAGGGCGGGCTGAGAAGGGCTCTATATTCGGGATGTAGGGATTCTGGTCTGGAGTTTAGGGTTTGAGGTGTAGGGTGTCGAAGATTTAGTTATTATGAACGGATACGGACTAAAGCTGCAGGCATGGTCTCGGATTTAGGGGTTTAGGGGTCCCGGGCTTTCGAGGCTTTGCAGTTATTTACTGACATACGTAATTTTAGGATTAATCTCCTCAGATTTCTGGGGCTCGGGATTTTGAATCCAAAGGTTTAGTAAGCAAGTGGAGCCGAAAGAGAAAGAGAGACAGAAAGAGAGAGAGAGAGAGAGTGTGTGTGTAGATGACCAATGGAGATGGATGACAAACACAAACACACCACACACACACACACGTATAAATGTATACATGTATATGTGTAAATACAGTACTCATAGACTGTCTACATATCAATACAAATGTATGAACTTAGATATGAAGATGTATGTATGTACGCACACAGCGCGGAAGTCAAACTCCGAACCTGGCTGGCAAGGCATGGCATTATGCACCTTGGTTGAAGAAGTCCTTCTGCACCCCGTTCGAACATTGCAGTGGGCCGACGATCGAAAAGAACCCCGAAATCTACCTCCGCGGACCGTGAAGATTAAGAGTTCATACCATGGTCATGTAAGTCCCTAAATCTTCGACGTGTTGTTCTGAGTGCCTTTGTCCGTTTTTGCACTGGAACACAGTTAGGTTAAAGTGTGCTGCTACAACTGCTAGCATTACGACGACACCTCCTCCTCCTCCTCCCCTCCTCCTCCTACTCCATCCTACTCCTCTTACGACCACGACCACCGCCACTACCGCCACCACTAGTACTATCACTACAAATACCACTACAAGTGCCACTACCACCACTGCTACCCATCACCACCACTACCACTACCACTACCACCACTGCTACCACCACCACTGCCACTACCACTACGACTACGACTACTACTATGACTACGACCACTTCTACTACTACTACTACTACAACTCCTCCTCCCACTGCCTGCTACTGCTAGTGCTACTGCTAGTGCTACTGCTGCTGCTGCTGCTACTGCTACTGCTACTGCTACTGCTACTGCTACTGCTACTGCTACTGCTGCTACTACTACGACTCCTACTGCTACTACTACTACTACTACTACTACTACTACTCCTGCTACTCCTGCTACTACTACTACTACTACTACTACTACTACTACTACTACTACTACTACTACTACTACTACTTTTACTACTACTACTAGTACTACTACTACTAATTTACTACTACTACTACTACTACTACTACTACTACTACTACTACTACTACTACTACTACTACTACTACTACTACTACTACTACTACTACTACTGCTACTACTACTACTACAACTACTACTCCTACTACTACTACTACTACTACTACCACTACTACTACTACTACTACTACTACTACTACTACTACTACTACTACTACTACTACTACTACTACTACTACTACTACTACTACCACTACTACTCCTGCTCCTGCTGCGTCTGCTGACACTCCCACATGTGAGTTGAGGAAGAGAGGCGTTGCCGAAGAGCGCGCCGCCAACTTGCTTCAAGCCCTTGGGGATTCCGGCACCCTGGCAGGTGGCAGTGGCAAAGGAAGCGAGTGCTAAGGTTTATTTTGTGTTTTGAGCCGATTTTTTTAACAGGGGCAAAAAGGGGCTTTAAAGAAAAAACCGTAGGATTTAGAGTTTGGGGGCTTAGGGTTTTGGGGAAGTCTGGGGTTTCAGGGACTTAGGGTTTACGAATTTAGGAGGTTTAGGGGGTTTCTGGTTTGGGGACGTGGGGGTTTCGGGGTTTTTGGGTGACTTAGGGTTTGGGGTTTAGTGGGTTTGGGGGTTTCGGGTTCGGGGCAAGCCAAGCTGAGAGATGACAGACAGAAGATCGTCCATCAGAAAGACCTGATGAATCTAGGGGCCTGCGGTTACTGGAATGTGGTGTAGGGTCCTACTAAATCCTACAGCTGAGCTATGTAGAGGAACATAGGGTAACTGGCGGTCGTCGGGAGGGACTGACTATTCGAGATTTGCCTGTCTTTAGGGCAAGGCGCCCTACACCCTCGGTTGCCCCTTGCGAGAAATGCTTTCAGAAAAGAAAGACAAAGCCCAACCCTACATGCTGAATTTAAGCCGAAAAGTTTGTGGCTTAGGCTTGAGATGGAGGCGCTATGCTAACTCTACACCCCTAAGCTCTGGACCCCAATATACCAGACTCCACTACTTACTTACTGGTGCTTGAAGGGGTGGCAGAGTGGATCCCTAAACCAGTGCCAAAATAGAATCCCGTATAGCAGTTGCGGTCTCCAGGCTTCCTTAAGCTCAGGTTTAGGCTTCAGGTTTCGGGGCCCAAAAACCCTAAACCCCTAAACCCTATAGACCCTAAACCCCTAAACTCTATAAACCCTAAACCCCTAAACCCTAAACCCGAAAACCCGAAAGCCTAATCCCGGACCACCCGGACCATTATCCCAGGTTGGGATGGGCCTTGCTTTCCCTTTGGCGTTCCGTGTAGTCGTTCAGCTCGTTGAGCCTCCTCGGATTCCAGTGTAACCCTGGGTTCACGTTTAGGGTTTCGGGCTCTTGGGGTGTATGTTTGGGGTTTCGGTTTAAGTTCATTGGGCTGAACGTGTTAGGTTTTGGGGTTTTGTTGTCGTTGACATCGCAAGTTTGCCAAGCAGCAGCACTTTCAGCGTGTATTGCTGTTGTTGCGACGGTTGATACTGCCACAATACTCATGGCAACTCGAACAGTGATGACTGCAAGTCGGCAGAAGATGACTGAGTGACTGAGCCCCATGGCAATCATCACAGTAGCTCAGTAGCAGCCACAAGCAGGCAGCGGCCTGTATGACAGTAGTGCTACTTGCTCGTAGTGATGATAGTAGTAGTGGTGTAGTAGTGGAGGTGGTGGTAGTACTACTACTCATAACAGCTTGATCATAGTGGTCGTCGCGGCGGTTGTACGAGAACATTGGTAGCAATGGTGGCAGTAGCAGTGGTAGCAGTCGTGGTAGTGGAGGCAGCGGTAGCAGCGGTGGCAGTCGTGGCCGTGGTGGCAGCGGTAGCAGTGTAGCAGTGGTGTAGTGGTGGTAGACGCAGTGGAAGAGGAGGGGGAAGTAGCTTTAGTGTGGTGGTGGTGGTGGTGGTGGTGGTGGTGGTGGTGGTGGTGGTGGTGGTGGTGGTGGTGGTGGTGGTGGTGGTGGTGGTGGTGGT